AAAAAAAAAAAAAAAAAGAAGTTACAAAGTACTACGTACTCATTTATTTATTTATTTTTATTATTATTATTATTTTTGAGACGGAGTCTCGCTCTGTCACCCAGGCTGGAGTGCAATGGCAAGATCTCGGCTCACTGCAACCTCTGCCTCCCAGGTTCAAGTGATTCTCCTGCCTCAGCCTCTGAGTAGCTGGGATTACAGGCAGCCACCACCACACCCGGCTAATTTTTGTATTTTTAGTAGAGACAGGGTTTCACCATGTTGGTCAGACTGGTCTCCAACTCCTGACCTCAGGTGATCTGCCCGCCTCGGCCTCCCAAAGTGTTGGGATTATGGATGTGAGCCACTACCCCTGGCCCTTATTTATTTATTTTTTGAGATGGAGTTTCACTCTTGTCACCCAGGCTGGAGTGCAGTGGTGTAATCTTGGCTCACCACAACTTCTTCTTCTTTCTCCTGGGTTCAAGTGATTCTCCTGCCTCAGCCTCACAAGTAGCTGGGATTACAGGCGCACGCCATCATGTGCGGCTAATTTTTCAAAATACTACATACTCTATGATTCTATTTATATAAAGTTCTAGAAAAGGAAAATCTATAGTGATAGATCAGTGTTTGCTAGGCTTTCAGGTAGGGGAAGAAACTTGACTGCAAAAGGCCACGAGGGAACTTTCTGGAATGTTCAAAATATTTATTCTATGTCATGACTGTGGTTGTGGTTACATGACTGTATGCATTTGTCAAATCTTATTGAACAGTGCAATTAAAAATAATGAATTTTACTGTATGCTAATCATACCTCAATAAAGCTGGAAAAAAAAGTCATTCTGGAGGAGAGAAATCAGAGGAGAGAAATCATTGCCTGATGAGGGCCGTTCCAGGGTGGTGAGTGTGTGAGCACTGAGGACACCCGGAGCAGCTGCTGCAATAATCTGGGGGAGGAACGTGCAGGCGGAGAGAGCACGAGGAAGTCAGACTGGGGAACCCCAAGACAGTTACCCAAACAGCCCACTAACAGGAACTGCAGTCGCCCGCCGCTGGGAGGAAACGGGGAGGGCCCATTGCCTTTTTTAAAAAAAATCTCTGCAGCTTTGCCAGGGAGCCGCCTCCTGCCTGACTGTCACGTGATGACCTGGAGGCCATCTATGGGTACGGCCCTCAAGCCCTCAACGCTCACCCTTCTTCTACCCCCGGCCCCTCACCCCAGCACCTGCTGAAGACCCTGGCCCTCCCTTCCACTCCGCAGGGCTCCTAATCTATCCAGTTCCACGGGCTGCCTTCCCGCAGCCATCAACAGGCTCTGTCCAGCTTTCCCAGTTATTATTCACTCAGGTGAATGGACACAATTAGATGATCATCCGCAGACTGTCTTCCTGTCATCATTGGCCACACCGTCACACACACCACACACCACACACCCTCACGTGCACACCCTCACACACGCACACCCTCACACATGCACACCCTCCTACACACACCTTCACACATGCACACCCTCACACACATTCACACAACACACGCACACCCACACACGCACACCCTCACATACACGCACATCCACACACACGCAAACCCACGCACACCATCACACACACCGTCACACACACCCTCACGCACACCCTCACACACATGCACACCCTCACACACCCTCACACACACCGTCACACACACCCTCATGCACATGCACACCCTCACACACCCTCACGCACACCCTCACATGCACACCCTCACATGCACACTGCCACACACACCCTCACATGCACACCCTCACACACACACCCCCCATACCCGCAAACCTTCACACACATGCACACACCCACACACACCCTCATACCCACAAACCCTCACACACATGCACACCCTCACACACACCCCCACACACACCCTCATACCCGCAAACCCTCACACACACGCACACCCTCACACACACCCTCACACACACACCCTTGTACCCGCAAACCCTCACACACATGCACACCCTCACACACCCCCCCACACACACACACCCTCACACCCGCAAACCCTCACACACACGCACACCCTCACACACCCCCCCACACACACCCTCATACCCGCAAACCCTCACACACACGCACACCCTCACACACCCCCCCCACACACACCCTCATACCCGCAAACCCTCACACACACGCACACCCTCACACACCCCCACACACACACACCCTCATACCCGCAAACCCTCACACACATGCACACCCTCACACACACCCCCACACACACACCCACGTACCCACAAACCCTCATACACATGCACACCTTCACACACACCCTCACACACACACCCTCGTACCCGCACACCCTCACACACATGCACACCCTCACACACACACCCTCACATTCACACTTGTGCACTTGAGTTTTTATTAAATTTGTTTTTGTCCCCTTCAATCCCATCCTCCAACCCGTTGTTCCTCCCTGTCTCCTGGGCTCCACGTATTATGCTCCTTCGGGTCACAGTCCCTGTGAGGGCCGTTTCTGTTGACAGGCACTTGGCTCCTTCATCCTTCCCACTGCCCACAGGCTCTGCCATCTGCACATGCACCCCTCCCACACAATCAGGGGCCTCTTTCTCCACGTCCTTGGCTGCCTCCTCTTTGTCTTCCACCCCTTACAATTCCTTCAGGGCCCTTTAAATGCCTTTTCCACCTGCCTGCCCCCTCTAGCCCCGCTGCCCAGTGTTAGGTGGGTCACACCATTTCTCTCCTGGGTGACAGGCACAGCTTCCACCGGCCTCCCTGCCTCCACTCTTCTCTGCACAAGCCCATGTGCTCCTGGGGCAGAGCCCAGGTCCTTCCATCTCTGTAGCCACAGTGCTGGGCCAGCGGCACTTGCAGTTTGGTGAATGGAGGGTTCTGATCATGGGGACCCGGTGGATAGAGAGGGACAAACAGTGTCCCCTCAATCTGTCTCCTGTCCTTTTCTGCCCAGGTACTAGGCTGGAAGATCAGGAGCCACACCTTGGCACTCACAGAGCCCTTTCTGCAAGTCTTAGAGTGACCAGTGGGAGGTGTGCACAGGGGTGCTGCATTGGCAGCAGTGGGGGCCTGGCCCACCCCCAGATAGATGCCCTGCTCCTGTTAATGCCCAAGGGCAGGGGCTTGAGGCAGCCCAGTGCCATCCCTGCTGACTCACGTGGGCCTAGTGTGAATCAGCACAGTCTGCCCTTCTTCCCATGAGAGCTGCTGCCCAGCCCCATCTTTCTCAGTCCCTGAGGGGTGTCTGTCCAGGGTCTGCCCAGGGCCTCTCTCCTGGCACAGTTCCATGTAGTGCCTGCCCATGTGGCTCCCAGTTCCTCCCGGGGGTCCTGGCTGAGCAGAGTAGCGTTGGGTCCTGATCTAGCTTCTTGTGTCCCAGAGGAGACCGCCATGGGGGCCCTTCCTCCAGACTCTTCCCCAGTTTAACAACAGGAAGTGAGGAGTACAGGGGGCAGAGATTGCCACAGGCCTGGCCACGTTGCTAGGGGAGGTCCCAGCCCGCTGCTGAGATCTGGCACTGCACAGCCTCTTTCAGGCAGAGAAACTGATAAGGAGACGGTTGCCTGCTCACCCCAAAAGGCTGGCATGGATTCCTTGGCCTAGCCGGCTTTAGACAGAGGGAACAAAGGTTTTCCCAAGGCCCTGCCAGTCCCCGGCCCTCCCCATCTTACCACCATAGGTCCCCCTCAATCATCAAGTCCCATTGCGCAGAAGGGGAAGCTGAGGTGCCAAGAGCTGGCATGGCCTGTTCAAGGTCACACTACTGGGCAGGGGCCAAGCAGGGGCTGGAGCCTTGCTTTCCTATTCCCCAGCCAGGGTCCCCAAATTCTCTGCCAATTGAGGGCAACCATCTCCTAGTCCATTGATCTGGGTGGCATTAGGAAGGCCATTTCTGTGCTCCTAGGTTAGTGACAGAGTGAGGATGTGCGTGCACTGAGGCGATGCGGCTGAAGGGTCAGGCCCTGGGTGCCAGCACTCTGCAGCCTGCCCCCAAGGCGCTCTGCAAAAACATGGTAAAGATGCGTGTGTGTGCTGCGGGGTGTGATGTGCACCTGTGTGTGCTGCGGGTGTGTGCATGCATGTGGGTGTGTGGTGTTGGCTGTGCATGTGTATGTGGTGTGGTGTGGTGTGCAGGTGCGTGCATGTGTGTGGTGTGTATGGTTGTGTGGTTGGTGCATGTGTGGGTGTGTGGCGTATGGGACTGTGTGGTGTGTGCATGTGTGTGGTGTGTACGAGTGTGTGCATGGTGTGGTGTGTGTGTGGTGTGGCATATGGGTGTGTGGTGGGTGCATGTATGTGTGTGGTGTGACTGTGTACATGTATGTATGTGGTGTGGTGTGTGCACTGTCTCTGGAAAATGCCCACCCTGTGTTCCCACCACCCTAACAGGGCCGGGAGGCGCCAGGGTGCTGCCAGACTCTCTGGGCAGGAAGAGGAGGCCTTGGCCACGGGCTGGACTTGGGCCTGGTCTGTGAGGCTGTTTTGGTCTCTGGCTTCACAGGGCAACAGAGAAGACAGATAAACAGGAAGAAAGCAGCTGCCTTGGGCTGGGCTGGGCTGGGCTGGCCTCGGCTGAGCTAAGCCAGGCCTCGGTGCGGGGGGGAGTGGAAAGAGAACGACTGGGATGAGGGCTGGAGGGGGTGTGGGGGCAGGGGAAGGAGAGAGGTGTTGGGGGAGGGAGGAGAAGGGCCCAGGTACAGGGAAGGTGCATCCACACTCATGGCATGTTCAGGAACATGAGCGAGCGTCTCTGTGTCGTGTGTTTGTGGCTGTGTGGCTGTATCATGTATGTGAGGGCGTGTGTGGTGGGAGGGAGCCCTTGAGCACATGGAGATCCCCAGCACCTCTTCCTGGGACAGGTAGTTGCAGGTGCGGCAGGAGGAAGAGGGTGGGGGTGTCCCTGGATCTCACAGGGGTTCATGAAGCCTGACTTGGCCCCTGCCCCACTCCTCCCTTTCCTGTCCCTCACCTCCCGCCAACTGGGCCCTAATTGAGGAGGAGGAGGGGCCTGCGTGGGCCTGGGAGGGGCCCAGCGAAAGTGTTTTCACCCCTTCCTTGCCTGGACCCAGCAAGGAGCAGGAGGACCCCAACTTGGGAAGGGGGCGTGAAGCTCCCACGAAAAAGCAGCGCAGTCCTGGACCAGACCCACTGCTCTCTGGCCTCAGTTTCCCGACTTATAAAATGGGAATGCTGAACTAAGTGACCTCCCAGAGCACTGCCAGCCCAGACAATCCAACCAGGGGAGTGTGGTAGGGTGAGGGTGGGCGTGGAGGCTATAGCAGTGGGAGGAGGGAGTCCTGGGCCAGGACCAGGGAGGCCCTGGGGAAAGGAAAGGAAACGGGAGGCCAGGGGAGGCCTGGGGGAAAGGGGGAGGGGGAGGAAGTCCCCTCCTGGCCAGGTCACTCCCAGAGGCTGGGCTGGGCCAGGGCGGGGCGGCCGATGGAGAGCAGATCTGAGCACCCAGCCACCTTTACGCTACCACCCAGCTGCCCAGGAGCCCAGCCAGGTAAGGGGCTGCACAGGCCCGCCCCTGTGCCCAGTCCCCAGCCCTCGGATGGCCTCTCTCGGCCTTGGTTGGGGCAGCGGAGCTCTGCGTGTCTGCCCGGGGCGCCCGCTTCCAAACCTGGGACTCATGGGCTGCCTGGGGGATCCTGGGTTCTGTGCATCCATCTGTCTGCCCGTCCCTCTCAATTTTCCCTGCCCAGGACTGGCCATACTCCCACCGCACACGTGCACACAGGCTAACAGGCACCCACCGTGCTAGCATCTCTGTAAGGGCTCCAGTTCAGAGACCTGGGTCATTGGGCTGGCCCCTCGGGCAGAGGCTGAGTCTGCCCATCTCCTCCAGGCCCTCAGAACACCTGTCCTGGACCCACCATGCTCATGACGTTCACCACTTCCGGTAAGGCTTGCCCCCCCACGAGCCCAGTGGGCAGAATGGCCTTGACGATTTAGGGAAGCCCCTCTTTCTAAAGACCTCCTTCACCCTCACCTCTGGATGCACCTTTCCAGGCTGCCAACGAGCGGGGAGGGGGGCATAGCCCCTCTTCCCTGCCAGGGCTGGGGCTGGGGCTGGGGCTGCCCTTCCTTAAGGACTGCATGAGCCTGGGGTGTGTATCCCCCATAACATGGCTTTCCTGGAGTCCCCTCTGCTAGGAGCCAGGAAGAGGGTGTCCAGATGGGGGCACAGGAGGCAGGCCTGAGTCCCCATGCACAGCACCCTAACCGGGCCTTCTTCCTCACCCCTGCCCAGCTGTGCTTGGGCACCTCTCTCTGCCCAGCAACAGCAGCCAGGAGAGGCCGCCGGACACGCGGGACCCGCTGCTAGCCCAGGCGGAGCTGGCGCTGCTCTCCATAGTCTTTGTGGCCGTGGCCCTGAGCAATGGCCTGGTGCTGGCGGCCCTAGCTCGGCGGGGCCGGCGGGGCCACTGGGCACCCATACACGTCTTCATTGGCCACTTGTGCCTGGCTGACCTCGCCGTGGCTCTGTTCCAAGTGCTGCCCCAGCTGGCCTGGAAGGCCACCGACCGCTTCCGTGGGCCGGATGCCCTGTGTCGGGCTGTGAAGTATCTGCAGATGGTGGGCATGTATGCCTCCTCCTACATGATCCTGGCCATGACGCTGGACCGCCACCGCGCCATCTGCCGTCCCATGCTGGCGTATCGCCATGGAGGTGGGGCTCACTGGAACCGGCCAGTGCTGGTGGCTTGGGCCTTCTCGCTCCTTCTCAGCCTGCCCCAGCTCTTCATCTTTGCCCAGCGCAATGTGGAAGGTGGCAGCGGGGTCACCGACTGCTGGGCCAGCTTTGTGGAGCCCTGGGGCCGTCGCACCTACGTCACCTGGATCGCCCTGATGGTGTTTGTGGCACCTACCCTGGGTATCGCTGCCTGCCAGGTGCTCATCTTCCGGGAGATTCACACCAGTCTGGTGCCAGGGCCGTCAGAGAGGCCTGGGGGGCGCCGCAGGGGACGCCGGACAGGCAACCCCAGTGAGGGAGCCCGCGTGTCAGCAGCTGTGGCCAAGACTGTGAGGATGACGCTGGTGATTGTGGTCGTCTATGTGCTGTGCTGGGCACCCTTCTTCCTGGTGCAGCTGTGGGCCGCGTGGGACCCGGAGGCACCTCTGGAAGGTGGGTATAGCCATGGCTAGGGCTGTCGGGGGCCACTCGGGCTTGGCAGCGTGCCCCGGTGCACCACCAGCCATCCTGAGCTCAACGTGGATCCCACCACCTTCACAGGGGCGCCCTTCGTGCTGCTCATGTTGCTGGCCAGCCTCAACAGCTGCACCAACCCCTGGATCTATGCATCCTTCAGCAGCAGCGTCTCCTCAGAGCTGCGAAGCTTGCTCTGCTGTGCCCGGGGGCGCACCCCACCCAGCCTGGGTCCCCAAGATGAGTCCTGCACCACCGCCAGCTCCTCCCTGGCCAAGGACACTTCATCCTAAGGAGCTATTGGGTGTCTTGCCTCCAGAGGCTTTGAGAAGCTCAGTTGCCTTCCTGGGGCTGGTCCTGGGGGCCACTGGGAAGGGGACCCATGGAGAATTGGCCAGATCCTGTGGCCCCGAGGCTGGGAAACTGTGTGTCCCTGGACAAGCCGCAGCCCCTGCCTGGGTCTCCACATCCCCAGCTGTATGAGGAGAGCTTCAGGCCCCAAGACTGTGGGGGCCCCTCAGGTCAGCTCACCGTGCTGGGTGTGGGAGGAGCTGCAGCAGAGGGCTGAGGGGCCTGCGGGTGGCAGGAAAGAGGGAGCAGGTGCCCCCAGGTGAGACAGCGGTCCCAGGGGCCCGAAAAGGAAGGACCGGGCTGGGGCCAGGGGACCTTCCTGTCTCTGCCTTTCTAATCCCTCCTTTCCTCCATCTCTCCTCATTCTCTCCCTAATAAAAGTTGCAGCTCAGCTCATTTTCCACATGGCAAGGGGTCTCTTTGGATCAGGGTAACAGTGGGTGTGGAGGCAGCACACAGCCATACACAGACCCCCACACACATACCCACAGTAATGTGCACAGCTCTGGAACCCATGGTGCAGGTGGCCAAGTCTTCAAAGCTGCAGGACCCCCAGGGAAGCTGTTCTGGCCTCCAGCACCCACCCGCCCACCCCTGAGACAGAGAGCTGGCTCCCATCAGGGAATCAACACGAGGTCTTTATGAATCACCACCCAGCCCTGCCAGGCACCTGAGCAAGGGTACCTGCCACCCAGCAGCCACTGACCAGCCCTCCACAAAGTCGCAGAATAGGGCTTTCCCCAGCCTCCAAAAGGGGTCTGGGCCAGGGCTGAGAGGCAGGCAGGGTGTGGAGTGGGCATCCCTGCATGTGCGGCCCCATCCCACCTCTGCACAGGGTGAAGTGCAGGCACCCTGAACTTGCTGGACAGGGTTGGAGAGAAGCAAGAGGGCTGGGGAGAGTGGCCGGTCCAGGGGGTAGCCGCCTGGGGCACACAGCTCCAGCAGCAGCACCTCAGTGTGGCTTGGGGGTTGTGTCCAGGCCCTGGGGGTGGGATGCTGAGGGTGAGGCTGGGGCCCCAGGGCCCCGGGAGAAGCCTTTGTTCTTGCCCAGGCGGCTGCCGGCCGGTGCCTTTGGGCTTCGGGGCCCAGGGCTGGGAGAGGTGGCAGATGCTGGCCCGAGGCCCTGGCGGACAGAGGTCTTTCCCAAGAGCTCCTTAAACACAGAGTCCATGTTCTGTGCCACGGCCTAGTGGAGGGGAAAGAAAGGGAGGGTGACCAGTGAGCTCCCCCGACTGACCCTGCCCAAGACCCACCTGAGTTCCTCCCACTCCCAAAGCAAGTCCTCAGACAACATCCCCAGTCCCTCAGCCTCCAGGTCGCTCTCCCCCACTTTGCATCTGGCATCCCGCCTGCCCCTTTTGGTGTCTCTGTCACAGTCTCCTCTGAGGACAGCAATTCCTTGGTTTAGCCCCAAAGTGGGGACCCCTCTCTTCTCGCCCCCACTCTTTCCTTGGCAGAGATCACAGTCCCCCTGCCCGTGGCCTCAGGGACCGCCAGCATGCGGGGAACTCCCAGGTCAGTGTCCTCCCATGGCATCTCCCGGCTGCTCTGTCCCTGGCTCCCGCTCCTGCTCCTGCGTGTCTACCCGACCCTCCCTGGGCTCCCTAAGCCGGGGGGCTTGGCCACACCTGGGACACCCACATGTTCTCGGGTCTCTCCTCCTTGGGCTTAGCAACTTTCCCTGGGCTTCCACGTTCAGCCCAACAGTGTTCACAGGTCCCATGGCACAGAGCATGGAGCAGGGCTCCCCAGGTCGTGCGCTTGCCAGAGCCACATCTTGAGCCTGCGCTCTGCTCCTGCGAGAGCCACTGCTGCCCCAACTCCAATCCCCAACCAGCCACCCCCTCCTGCCTCCCTGCCATCTGTCCCTTTCATCCTCCCTGGCATGCCAGGCGCCTGCCATGGCACCGCCTGTTACCTAGCCCAGCTACAGATGCCAGCCTTGAAATCTGCCCTGGAGTCCCTTGCCTCTACCAGGTAAACAGCCTTAACTCAGCCCTGCCACTCCCTGCTCTGAAGCCGAACATGAATTCCAACGTGCAAGCCCCAGGCTCTAGCCAGGCCAGGTGTCTTCTGTCCCTCTCATCCCTGCCTCTGTGGCCATCCCTCTCCATCCCCACTCGCCCTTACATCTTTGCCTTTCTACCCTCCATGGGGTCTGCCTTGGGCCTGTGTGTCTGGCGGCAGGTTCCCCTGAGCTAAGGCCAGGGAGGGCAAGGACTGGAACCTCAAGGAGGGAGGAGTTTGGCTCCCAAGGGAAGGCAAAGATCCCCCCAGGACAGATGTCCCTCACCTGCCACATACCCACTCTCACCTTATCCACCTCCACGTGTTGCTCCGGGGAGGCTGAGACCAAGCAGCGTCGTCTATGTCCAGAGAGTCCCACGGCCTCGGGTGAGATGCATGGCTCTGGCCTGCAGGACAGACGGGGAGCCTGGTGGGGGCTCTGGGAAGTCCCTGAGCTAACTGGGCAGTGGCTCCTCCCACCCTGGGGTGTGGCCAAGGAAAGGAGGCTGGCCCAGTGGTCCCCAAGCTCCTCCAGAGCCTCTTTCCCTGTCACAAGCTGGGTCACTCTGTCACGTCCTCATCTGCCAACTCCTCCCACTCCCACGGGGCCAAAGCCTGACCCTAGTCCCCTCTGGCCTAGAACAGCACATGTGTGGGCCCCCCAAGCCCTGTCTTCTTGCTCACCGGTGAACCAGCTCTGATGCCAGGAGGCCCTCAGGACTGCTCCCAGACTCCCCTGCAGTCTGCGGCCCTGCGCCCACCACCTGCTTCTCTGCCCTGTGGTGGGAAGCACCAGCCTGTTTTGAGTGCTCCTTCCCTGCACAGGGTCCAGGGCCAGCAGCCTCCGTGCCAGTCAGAAGTAGTCAGACAGGCTCCATTCTCTGGCCTAGCCCAGACCTTCAGAATCTAACTTGGGGTCAGGGGAGGGCTGGATGAAGGGGAGGTGCGGAGACTCCAGGAACCCTGGGGCCCGAGAGCGCAGCTCACTTACCCCTCAGGCAGTGTGATATACTTGTGGGGGATGAGGCCCCGCACACCATTGTGCTCCCCCCGCCACCAGTCGCTCGAGGCCCTCTCGTGCAGCCGCAGTACGTCCCCCCGCCGGAAGCTCAGCTCCTGGGCCGTTCGGCCCGTGTAGGCAAAGCAGGCCACAGCCTCCACAACCCCCTCCAGGTCTGGGGAGGAGAGGGGGTCCAAGCTGTGGGTGGGGGGGCGGGTGTGGACACTAGGGCAGGGACAGGGTGGGGCTCTCTGCCCATCGCCCTCACCATCCTCCTGGGCAAGCATCTCAGCTTCCAGCTCCGGCTCGTTGTCCGCCCCCAGGCTCTCCAGCTGGGCATCCCTGAGATTCAGGGCAGAGCAAGGTGGATGAGGGGGGCTCTTCTCCAGTGGACCCCCCATCCCCTCTGCAGCACCAAGGGTGTACCCCAGGCAGCTGGCGGAAGGCGGTGCCATGCACTTCTCGTAGACGGGGCCAGGCAGTGAGGTCAGGGGCGGGAAGACCCGATCTGGCTGCAGTATGAGCGTCTGCACCAGCTGGTTCACCCGGCCCTGCAGCGCCACCGGGTCCTGCCCAGCGGGCACCGGTAGCAGCGTGGGCCCAAAGCACACGGCCAGGTTGTAGGGGTCCATCATGTTCTCATCGCTGTACTGGGCCAGGCTGGGGGGACACACACATCACAAGCAGAGAGCCCACACCCCGAGTCCCCTTATCCCCTCGACCCTGGCCCCCACCCCAGCACTCGCCCCACAGCACTCACTGGTTGAGGAAGTTGAAGAGGTAGCGCAGAACCACCAGCACTGGCGCGGGCAGCCGCCGTAGCAGGCGGCTCACGTGCTCCACCCTCTCTGCCGTGGCCTCCAGCTCTGTGGCCAAAACCGCCCACAGAGAGCCGAGTGAGTGGGGCTGCCCTAGCAAGTGCCCTACCCCCACTGGCCTCAGGGCCCGGCCTCACCCGAAGAAGCCAGCAGCTCGCTGAACAGGTCTGGGGGGAAGAGTGGGGGCTCCAGGCTCCGGAAGTAGAGCTTCAGCACCCCGGCCACCGAGTCCAGATCGTGGGCAGTGCAGCCCTCCACCAGTGGGTCCTCCCCTGCAGACAGGCGAGTGGTGCAGTGGGGGGAGGAAGCTGGTAACGTCTGCCCGAGCCCCCAGCCCTGCCCGCCCTGCCCGTCCCCACCTCTCTCGAAGGCATCACGGATCTCTGAGACCCGGAGCTGGGCACCCGACACCCGGAAGATGCCTTCATGCTGCAGGCCTGTGGGAGGATAACGAGCTAGTGGGCACTGAGCATCTTCCCCAGCCCCTCCAGGATGGCCTCCCATGCCAGGTGCTGGGAGCTGGGTGCTGGGTGCCAGGACAGCGGGAGGGGCTGGGTCCTGCTTACCGTTGAGGTTAATGAAGCGAATGCAGCTCTCCACTACCAGGGGCACAGGCTGGCCTGAGCACTGGGGACAGAGGGTGTTTACTTCACCATGGACACAGCATGCCCTGTGTTGTCATTCAACTGCTTTTTTTTCTTTTTGTGAGACAAGGTCTCACTCTGTCACCCAGGCTGAAGTGCAGTGGCATGATCTCAGCTCACTGCAGCCTCGACTTCCTGGGCTCAAGTGATCCTCCTGCCTCAATCTCCCCAAACGGTGGGATTACAGGCATGAGCCACCGCACCAGGCTGAGTGCTTTTATTTTCTCTCAAGAACACATCATCGTTGTCGGCACAGAGGCCTAGCACACTGTTTGTTAGATCCCCTCTTAGGTGTCTGATATCTTTGATGAGGTGTTAGGCAGTGCCTTACATTTTATTTGCAAACTATTGCTGGAATATAAAAATGCAATTGAATTCTGTACACCGACCTTGAATCAAGTAACATTTAGAAACTCAAGCTGGGTGTGGTGGCTCACGCCTGTAATCCTAGCCCTTTGGGAGACTGAGGCAGGAGGATCACCTGAGGTCAGAAGTTCGAGACCAACCTGACCAACATGGTGAAACCTCACCTCTTCTAAAAATATAAAAATTAACCAGGTGTGGTGGTGCACACCTGTAGTCCCAGCTACTTGGGAGGCTGAGGCATGAGAATCGCTTGAACCCCAACAGGTAGGAGGTGAAGGCTGCAGTGAGCTGAGATCGTGACCACTGCACTTCAGCCTGGTCAACAGCACAAGACCCTGTCTCAACAAATAAAAAAAAATAAAATAAAAAAGAAAGAAACTCAAAGTGTTCATTTAAAGAATCTGTTGATTTTCGAATGTTCTACACACATAACCACATCACTGAAAATGATGGTATCACTTCTGATCTTCTGGTATTCTCCATGCCTGGCCCCCTCTGATGCTTTCTTTACTTTTCTCTTTTCTTTTTTCTTTCTTTCCTTTTATTTCTCTGTATTTCTTTCTTTCTTTGTTTCTGTCTTTCCTTTTTTTTTTTTTCCTTCCTCCCTCCCTTCCTTCCGTTCTTTTCTTTTCTTTTTTTTGAAACAGGGTTTTGTTCTGTTGCCCATACTGGAGTGCAGTGGT